CTCTCTCTCTCTCTCTCTCTCTCTCTCTCTCTCTCTCTCTCTCAATTAATTGGACAGATCTATGTTCTAGTGAGGGACACCAATGAATAAAGAAGAACAAATGGCTGGATATGTGGATCAGGCAGAAGGCTAACTAGCCGGCTATTTGTTTTAGCACTGTTTTAGTAATTTGCTTAGCATGGTCTCCTGTTGAATATAACAACAAAAGAGCACAGTACCATGCCAAGGCCCATCTTGTCCAGGATTCTCTTTCCCACAACAGCCAACTAAATGCCTGTAAGAGGCAAGCATGAGGGCAGCAGTCCTTCTGCATGGCTGTTCCCCAGCAACTGCTACTCACATGCAAGCTGCCTTGAATTCTGGGCACTGACAGCCTTATTTACTTGTTTGTTTGTTTATTAAAAGCTTTTCTAATCTGTCCACTACAGACATCTCGGAATGGTGTACAAAAAAGTAATCCATCCATCTTATCCATGATAAATCTGTCGAATTCCCCAATGAGAACACTGTTTTGTATGGCACTAGAATATATTGCCTCCAGATAGCTCTTAAAGCCCCCAGTAACTTACTTACATGTGGTGCAGGTGCTGCAAAGAAAATTTGTGCTAGGTGTCACTGCTCACACAAATAAACATCAAAGGTTTGGGACTACCACATTCCACAGAACAGAATACTCTCTTGAAAGGGGAACTCACACATTCCCAGTGACAAAATATTTCTACTTGCATGGTGGGGGAAATAAAATATGCTGCAAACAGAAGACACTTGAAGGAAGAAGTGTGGATTGTGCACATCAAAATGAGAAACAATGGCAACATTGATTGCACAAAACGATTACCAAACAGAAAGGCTCTAAGTTAGTTCCTCTGTATTGACATCAGAAACCAAGAGGGAGGAAATTAAGAGTGTGCAGAATGCAGAAGGAGCAAACTCCTTCATCTATCTCCTCTCTTTTATGAGAATAAATATGCAACTTTACGGGATGAATATATTTTTTCTTTTAAACAACTGAGGACTGGCCAACCGCAGCTTGCAAGCATCCGGCCAACAATCATTATCTTCATATAGCTCTGTTGAGTTTAACTGCAGCTCTGGACAGGACAGATAATTATAAGTATTATTACACTGCATGTATACCCTGCCTTTTTTCCTTTTATGAGGACCCTAACGTGACTTACATAGCTCTTTTTATCCCTATAACAACCTTGTGAGGTAACTTAGGCTGAGACTCCATGACTGGCCCAAAGTCACGCAGTGAGCTTCATGGCTGAGTGAGGTCTAGAACCTGGATCTCCCAGGTCCTTAGCCCAACACTCTATTTCAATTTAGAAACATTAATTATTGAATTGAATTAATTTAATTAATTAGCTGTTATTTTTAAAAGGATTCCATATTGCTTTTGACTCTACTTTTGACTCTAAGCACCACATTACCATGTTCATTGAATCCACCCTTGAGCAATTTATGAGTGCCAAAGCATGCAGCTTCTCAGGATACTGCTTCTCCCCCTTGCCAGGACTGAAGAGCTTGCTCTGATTCTGAAAGCTGTTCTAGGGTCCCACATCCCTCAGGTGGAAAGGAAACTGGTTGGCTCAGCTCTACATTGCCACATTGCCTGCAATGGAAAGGAGGTGGCACCTCAGCAATGAAGAGGCTGTTTCCAATTTCATCCATAATTCTGGTGCTCCAAGTAAGCATTTGGCTGTTTTAGCACTGCCCTAATTCCAGCCCAGGCTGAAATAAATATTCATGAGTTGGAAAGGTTCCCTGCCTGTGGAGTCTTTTGTCCAGGACGGGGGCTCTAAAAAAAAAAATCATTTCCCCCTTATAGCCTCTCATAGCTCCAAGAGCGCAGGCCCCATCTTCACATGAACTCTTCCTCCCTCCAGGCTCCCCTGACCCTGGTGGAGGCAGTGCTGGTCCATCTGCAACAGGGCAAGGGTTAGCCCAGACTTCTGACAAGAGGGCTGTTTGGAGCAAGGCACACAGTGGGATTTCTCTCTAATTGGCCGCCTGGTGAAGGGGCTGAACAAAATGAAGACTGGAGCCAGAGCCAAACCAAAGCAAGAGACAGTGACAGCTTGGACAATCTCAGCAGAGTTGAGCCTTCCAGCTCCCCAACCACCAAAGGACCTGCTGTCTACAGTGGAGCAGCTTTCAGATCACAACAAAGTGGATAAAGACGAATGAAAGCACCTGAGGCTCCATCTTTGGCACAAATACTCAAGGTACAGTGATACGGTGTGGTCGTGTCATGAGTGCCCTAGCTCAGGAAAGCCCATCACTCTATGTGGAAGATTTGTGTGAGAATATTTCACAGGAGGAGCTCCCAGCTTCTAGCTGAGCATGCCACAAAAGAATGAGAGAAATTTGGCATGGTGAAAGATAACCAGGGGAAAAAATTGGAAGGTCTAAACATATAGGGATGAGCTGGCCTAATAGCCAAGTCTTTGCATAATCACATGGGCTATTTTGAGGGCCCAAGTCCTGCACAGAGAAACATGGTTTTTGAGTGCCTCTTTCCAGCGGGGCTTCAGGAGTGCAGGATCATGCCCATAATATACACATACTCCGGAGTCAAGAGAAATAAGCACAGCAGCTGCCCAGAAAATGCAGGACACAGAGCAATCTTGAATACAAGTTATGGTTTGGCGGCAAGCCACACAACTTGGTATGATGAGCCTTGCAGGGAGCTCTGAATATGGAAATGGTCATCCAGCTAGGATGAGATGCTTGAGATTGCAAGCCAGCCTAAATTGCTCAGAGTTGACCATCTGCCACTTAGCTTGCACTTTGTCATGATAAAAAGGATGGTGGAATTAGCCCATAACAGCAAAACAGTCTGTCAGAATCACAAAATGCAAAGGAAATACCAAGAATGAGGAGACTGGCCAAAAGGCATCAGGTTATGAAACTGGGATTGAGTGGTAGACTCTCAGGCATGGAAGAAGCAACAAAATGCTTCAATTATTAAAATGGGGAAATGAAAGCAAGTACAGTTTATTTAACTGCCTTATGTTTTTCACTTGGAGCAACACAGTAATAGATATTTATACATTATCAGATGCAGAGGTAAAAAGGCTACAAAAAGACTTTTGGGGCACCAAATGAACAGTAAAGCACTCTTTAGCAGAAATTGCTACTGGAAGCTTTCACAACTAAGATTCAACCCCATTTTCCTTTAAAAATCTTACTAACAACACCATAGCCTAAAACAAAATAGTGGATCAATAAAAGTATTCCAAAAAGGAAGCTCCACCACAATCAGCTCCCCATGGAAATATCCATGGGTTCCAAATACAGTGCTGAGAACAGGAATGGTATATAAATACACATTTTTGGTAAACAAAATGGCATCTGGAACAAGTATGGAGTCCCTAAAGTGCCAACAGTAGCATATAAATGAGCATCTCTAGGTGCCATTTTTATTTGCCCTCCCCTGCACTGGGAGGTGGGAGAAAATGGTCCCAGACCTCCCAAATTTTCCCATTCTTATAATGCCCCATACCAACTTTCCTTTTTCTTTCATTTCCTTCTAGCAATATAAATAACATTTGCTTCTGAAATCTTTATAGCAACACATGGAGGTATCCCCTGAGCTGTAAGCTGCAAACAAATGTCTGGGGATTCTCTAGACCAAGAATTTTACCAAGAAATGGGATTGAATTTGGATCAGTTGTGAAAGCTTCCAGATGCAGTTTCTGCTGCAAAGCACTTGACAGTGTTTCTACCATAGTCTTCTTGACAAGATACTATTCTGGTTGAGTGAAAATTCAGAAGTTACAGAAAGTTTAGGAAGAACAGACTGATGGAGAGCATCTCCGATATAGACATTACAACATGGGAAGTGGACTTAGTGGAGTTCCTTTGCAGTAGCATAGCCCTTCTTCTCAAATGTGGGGCTGGACAGGGAAGAGGGGACACATGTGGGGGAAGGAACAAAACTTCAGAACAGGAAGGAAGAAGTAGGAGCACTAACTCCTCTGAAAAACAACACTTACTAATTTACATGGCTTTCTTAGAAGTGAATATACTCCCAGTACCCTGGGCTAACCTGAGAACAAGGGAACCCAGGAAGAACTGTTGCTTTTTTCAGCATGTATTCGTTTAAGGAAGGTGTCATGAGATGCCTATTGTTAGCATAAGATTAATCTCCCATTCCATGAATCCACATATGCAGCAGTGGACTGCAAATATGCAAGCTGGGGTGGGAGGGGCACAAACAAAAATGAGCTGATACTCAAATTTATATTCTGTTTTATTGCCTATGCTGTCAAAGCCTGTCAAGCTACAGGGCCCTCCACATTTACAAGGAGAGGCAGAGCAAAGTTCAACAAAGTTGAAAACACAGTGACCTAATTAGCTCCCTTTAGAGTTCCCAGGAATTCTCCCAAGACCTAAAATAGTTCTGTCAATCTGTCAGGGTTTCTGCCCATTTATTAATCTGTCATTTTAAATAACCAATTCAGAATGCTAACTCTTCCAACTAATCTCAAGTTACCTGCTTTACATATAGAGTGCTAGTATATAGCTAGAATGCTACTCTGCTCTGTATATGCACAAAACTATA